CCCGCCTAAGGCTCTGAGAGGGAGTTTGGGTGGAGGCTCTGGGCTGAAGCAGGGGATTCAGGGGCAGGAGTGGGTGCAGGCTTTGGGAGGGAGTTTGGGTGTTGTCTCTAGCCTGAGCTAGGTGTTATGGGTCCTGGGTGCAGATTCTGAGAGGGAGTTTTGGGGCTGAGGGGGAGAGTTTGGGGGCAGCATGTGTCATGGCCGCCTAAGGCTCTGAGAGGGAGTTTGGGTGGAGGCTCTGGGCTGAAGCAGGGGATTCAGGGGCAGGAGTGGGTGCAGGCTTTGGGAGGGAGTTTGGGTGTTGTCTCTAGCCTGAGCTAGGTGTTATGGGTCCTGGGTGCAGATTCTGAGAGGGAGTTTTGGGGCTGAGGGGGAGAGTTTGGGGGCAGCATGTGTCATGGGGGAGAGGGTGCAAGTTCTGGAGGCCATGGGGTACAGAAGAGGGTGGGTGGGAGGAGAGGGGGATGTTATGCTTATCTGGGGCACCCCCTTATGGCAGTGGCTCCTGGGGGGATACCTGCTACTCCCACACCTGGCAACCCTGCATGCCACTGTGCTATAAAGGGTGGGAGAGGACACCATTGCTGACACAGCCAAATTGCATAAGGGCCAGGAGGGAAGCCGCAGTCTTACACAAGATCCTCCTTTGCTTCCCTTCTCACCTTCAGCAGTGAAATATCTTACAGGATGCGTTCAGGCTGTGGAAAATGTGTGGACATTACTGCTTATAGGTCTACCCCCCTGCATTGTAGGCTTTGCCCAAGACACATCAGCCCAGAATACATTAGGCCCTACAACAATGAATTCCCCTGCTCTAGTGATTAACTCACCATTTTGTGGATCTTGTGTCTCATATGGATCGCCAGTCAGTGTTACCTATGTGCTTAAATTGGGTCATGTCAATGCTCTGTGTGGTGTTAAAAAGGGTCCCTCTGTAAAATGTTGCATTTTGGTTCCCCAGATTTAACCTTAGGATCCCAGCCTGCCTTGTTATTGCCTGCTCAGGGCAAGGAAGTGGCTATGGAAAAGTAAAGATGACTTGATGCATGAGGCTATGCTTCAGGCGGCTGCCTAAAAGAAAGAATGAAAGGACTGGAGGGACAATGAGCAGAGGGAATGGAAGGTGAACGCTGAGTGCTGGAATGAAGCCATGGAGTGGCTCTTAAACATTATAGCAAAATGCAGGACAATGTAGCACTTTAAAGACTAACAAGATGATTTATTAGATGATGAGCTTTCGTGGGCCAGACCCACTTCCTCAGATCAAATAGTCAGCTACCCCAGACTAACACGGCTACATTTCTATCACTATTAAACAACTGATTTTTTCTTTGGGTCAGTAGCCCCTGACCCAAAAAAGGTTCCTCACTCCTGATCTAAATGAATGGAGTTATACCACTATGAAAGGGGAATTAATGCAAATTTGGGGTGCAAATCCCAAGTTTTATAGCTGGACCTATGGTTTTGTTAATGGACAAACTGGCAGTTTTTGAGGACAAACAGCCTTTGCTTTGCTGCATTCACAAATTATTGTGGGCACCAAATGCAAATAAGCATTGTCACAACTATGCAGCCCACTCTTGGAAATGTGTTCTTTGTATAGCATAACTAAACACAAGGATCCATAGTGCCATGCAACAAAAATAAAATCAACCACCATCAAAACAAAAAAAACATGATTACAATAACCAAAAGCATCAAAGTGGAACCTTATTTTATTTCACCCAGTTGAATTTGTTAATGAAAGGCTGAGAGAACAGGGCCCACTCCTATTTGGCTTTAATTTATCATTATATTTTTATTATGTTTAGGTAGTCCTTTGCCTCAGAGCTGGCCTTAATATGAGGCGAACTGAGGCGGCTGCCTCAGGTGCCAGACGGGGGGTGGCGTGGGGGGTGGGCCTCACTAGGACCTAGAGAATTGAGACCTTTCAACGTTTTGGCCCAAGCGAGGGGGTGTGGGGGCATCATTTTAGCTCCCCGCCTCAGGTGCCAAAATGTTGTGGGCTGGCCCTACTTTGTCTCCCTAATCTATTTATTTAACCCAGCCAATTTGTAATTAGCCACAACATCTATTTTGTTGATTCCTGAGTTGAAGAGGTTTAAACTTGCATTTAAGTTCTTTGAAATGTAGTTTGTAGGCCAATAGTGTGCTGAGTAACAAGACTAGCAAGCATGCCATAGGTAAGATACATGGCACTGAGACAGGGTATATCAACCCCACTCTGGGCCAGAAGAGGTTAACCTGGCTCAGCTTGCTGAGGAGGCCCCACCCCCACAGCCCTGCTAGGCATGCTCCAACTGGAAGCCAACTATAAAGGCCTCTGGAGTTGCTCAGTCACGGTTGACTGCCCCAGGGAAAGGAGGTGCTGCAGGAGCTCATGGTGTGGTTTGGGTTTATGCAATGGCATAATAGTTTTGAATGCCGGTTGCAATGCATATACTCTGTGGCTGTTAGGTCACCCTATCCTGAGTGAGAGTTCGAGGGGCCGCTCCTGACCTGTTGCTGTCCTCTCTGGTGGGTGGACAAGGCGCCCCTCGACAGGTTACAGCATATTCTCACCAGCAACTACACA